ACGAGCAATGGCCGCCGAGATCAAGCCGCTCCGGAGCTCAGGCCCGACCAAGACCGTCAGCACAGACAAGCCGGTGCTCGTGTCCAAGATCGAGGGCGGCAGCGACGACGTGAACGCAGCCGTGCTAATAGACTCGGGCACGGGCGTGATCTCCGTGGGCGATGACAAGTAAGAGGCGAGGCAGGAGGGGAGGGCGCGGGTCCAGGCAGCGGGCGAGACGTAGATGATAAAGGCCTTTGGGAATCTCTCTCTCCTATTTGTGGGTGGGTTTCTTTTTTCTGGTGGTGTTGGTGTTTAGGTGTAGGGCTGGGATTAGTGCCATCGTTTGTTCTGGTTGTTAGTTAGTTAGTTTGTGGGATTTATTCTTTGTTATTGTTTTGCTATTTTTCATCTTTATCTTGTTGGTGTTGTTTGGAGTCATTCTCATCATCATTATTATCTTTATTGTTATTATTATTGCCAATTTAAAGGGGTAGGCAGAGGGGTAGGATGCTAGATATAGATGCTATATTTGCATCATGGGGGTTTAATCAATGTTATTTTTTATTTTTCATTATTCTGATGGTGTCTTTATTTCCCCGTTTTTCCTTTACTAATAGATGTAGAACTACACTGTGTAAAGATCAAATTGTAAATTACATTTTGGTTGCAAAAACCAATCCGTAATTATTTGTTTATTTGCAATTTCTTGTTTTGTTTATGATTGTCTTTTGTATCATTTGGTATAGCTTGTGAATATTAACATTTGGATGTGAAATGTATATTGATATGCGATATGGGCTGAAAGGTGTATTAGACACCTGATAGGGGGTGTGAGTGTGACAGGTGGATAAAAAATTAAATGGACTTGAAATTATGAAGACTTTTTTGAGAATACCTATTTATGGTAGTGTTTTGTCTATACGTAAATCATGAATAAGTTATCGTGTTTCTCTAAAAATCTTTGATAAAATGGGAATTATTTTTTAAGAATATAGGAAATGGAATTCCTCTGTGGAATTTCCTTGTATTGATCATTAGTCTAACAAGTAATCGGCATGTTGTTTTGGTATTGCTGAATCGTAATGTTCCATTTATTATGAGAAATATCACTTGGTGCCATTAAGTTCAGAACAGTTATGAGTAGGATGAATTGGTAGTGGAAATAGGCCAATGCAGAAAAGTGCAGAGGTTAGTTTACATAATTGAATTTTTGTTTTTAAAGTATTTGAGAATTACAAATACAGTATCTTCATCTCTGAAATCTACAAACTGTAATTGTTCAAAGTAGAACTACATGAAGCACTACTGTGGACTCTGCATAGTGCATCAGTTATGCTCAATGAAGCTCCCAACATTTAATTTGCTGGATAGAGCTTGGTTCCAGGGAGATGGTCAAGATCTATTTTGCTAGAGTATACAAAATACCGTCTGTTTGCCTTTGCCAGAGCATGGAGCATCAAATATGGCATTGCTGAGCTTACCCTACCAAGTATTTACCCCACATATAGTTTTTATTAAAAAAAAAAATTATTGATTATTTTTTTTTATAATGAAGATGTAGAAAACTCTAAAGGTGAAAGAAAATGGTGAATCATATGAAAGTCTTGGGATATTTTATATATTTCTGATAAGATATAAGCCCTTCTTTTACTCTCCCTTTTTTTGATAAGATGTAGTGTAGGAATACAAGCCTTAATGTTTGGCAGTATGTTGCTATGACAGCAGGTTTATGTTGATGTTCACAGATGTTTTTGAATTCTTTTTACTCTTTAGATATTAATTTTATAGGGTAATATATGTTTTTTTCTTTTTACAAGTACTGTATTACAAAAACATAATGGTTTGATGAATACTTAAATAGCAATAAAATTAATATTTTCACTCTTGTGTCATATGGAAGGCATAGAAATAAATTAAGACTTGCCTATATCTTCTTTCTTTGCATATTTATAACATCACGTTTTTTTGAAAATAATTGCAGATTAGAGATTCTTTTCATATAATTTGTTCATTTTGTGTTACTGCTTTTATGAAAAAAAATTATTTAGTCTTAACTCCTGGAATCTACTGTATTCAATTGTATTGATGATGATTCACTACTCTTGCCCAAAATTAGCTCAATACTATTATCTCGGCCTTGAAAAAAATATTACAAAGGAACAAATGCAAGGAAGACAATAGTCCTGAACTGTTATCAGTAGATACCAAAAGGGTCAGCGTGTGACCAGAATGCGGGTAGTAAATCCCTAGGTATTATTATATGTAACAGCTTATTAATTGATTTAGAAACAAAGAATGGATTTAGTTTGTCATTTCAACGTCAGGCAGTACATGCCTATGCTTGCACACTCATACATGCATGCACACAAACACACTTATGCACATACACATGTACATACACATGTACATACACATACATATAAATATGCATACACATACATATATGTACACACATGCACATAAACATACACAAACACAAACACAAACACAAACACATACGCATACACATGCACACACATGAACACACATGAACATGACACAAATAGACACACAAGCACATGCATGCATATAAACATACACATGCACATGCATATACACATAGACATGTATATACACATACATATGTAACAGCTTATTAATTGATTTAGAAACAAAGAATAGATTTAGATTGTCATTTCAGCTTCAGACACAGTCATGCATGCACACGCACATATACAGATGTACGCGTACGTACATACACACTTGTGTACATATCTGCACACACACTTATGTACACACACACACACACACACACACACACACACACACACACACACATACATACATACATACATACATACATACATACATACATACATACATACATACATACATACATACATACATACATACATACATACATGCATACATACATGCATACATACACATACATACACATACATACACATACATACACATATATACACATATACACACACACATACAGACATACACAGACATACACATACACATACAGATACACATACAGATACACACACAGATACACACACACACACACACACACACACACACACACACACACACACACACACACACACACACACACACACACACACACACATGCACATACACATACTCACATACACATACTCAGATACACACACACACACATACTCAGATACACACACACACATACTCAGATACACACACACACACACACACATACTCACATACACACACACACATACTCACATACACGCACACACATATACTCACATACACGCACACACATATACTCACATACACGCACACTCACACACTCACTCACTCACTCACTCACTCACTCACTCACTCACTCACTCACTCACTCACTCACTCACTCACTCACTCACTCACACACTCACTCTCACACTCACTCTCACACACACAGACACACACACACAGACACACACACACACACACACACACACACACACAACACACACACACACCACACACACACACACAACACACACACACACACACACCACACACACACACACACACTCACACACTCACTCACTCACTCACACACTCACACACTCACACACTCACACACACACACACCATACTCACATACACACACACACATACTCACATACACACACACACATACTCACATACACGCACACACATATACTCACATACACGCACACACACACTCACACACTCACACACACACACACACCATACTCACATACACACACACACATACTCACATACACGCACACACATATACTCACATACACGCACACACATATACTCACATACACGCACACACATATACTCACATACACGCACACACATATACTCACATACACGCACACACATATACTCACATACACGCACACACATATACTCACATACACGCACACACATATACTCACATACACGCACACACATATACTCACATACACGCACACACACACTCACACTCACATCTCACACTCACACACACACACACACACTCACACACTCACACACTCACACACACCACACTCACACACTCACACACTCACACACTCACACACTCACACATCACACACTCACACACTCACACACTCACACACTCACACACTCACACACACACACACACACACACCACACACACACACACACACACACACACACACACACACACACACACACACACACACACTCACTCTCTCGGCTGCACACTTGCACATGCACTCGTGTGTACACACACATGCATGCACATACATACATACATACATACATACATACATACATACATACATACATACATACATACATACATACATACATACATACACATACATACACATACATACACATACATACACATACATACACATACATATGTAACAGCTTATTAATTGATTTAGAAACAAAGAATAGATTTAGATTGTCATTTCAGCTTCAGACACAGTCATGCATGCACACGCACATATACAGATGTACGCGTACGTACATACACACTTGTGTACATATCTGCACACACACTTATGTACACACACACACACATACATACATACATACATACATACATACATACATACATACATACATACATACATACATACATACATACATACATACATACATACATACATACATACATACATACATACATACATACATACATACATACATACATACATACATACATACATACATACATACATACATACATACATACATACATACATACATACATACATACATACATACATACTACACACACATGCATGCACATTCACACAACTACATACATGAAGAGCAAGAGATATATATATATGCTAATCACACACTCTATCACCATAAACACCTGTATCAGACATAGTGAGTATATGTTATATATTATACAGCTGTAACAAATGAATATAGTAAATACAGTATCATATACCATATTCAACTCAGTGAAATCGTTGTAGAAAAATATTCTGTTATGGAAATGCCTTGATGAAAATCCTAGTTGGCAACACCACATCACCTTCATTCATTGCAAATATTAACGAGGATTTATTTCTGTTTTTGCTTGGTTTTTTTTCCAGATATTTTCGGACCACTGGAGATAATACGCTTACAACACTTTCACCACAAAAAAATATCACACAAATTGACCAGGCAAAAAAGGGATAGAGTTAATAATAACATCATCTCAGGTAGCCTGTGAGTGTGTGCTATGAGATATCAGATATAGTTAGATACCTAATTATATGCACAATTTACTCAATATTTTCATAATTACTAGAAGTAAAACAAGGAGCCCGCTATTTTATTTATGATAAACTGTTTCAGAACTCTAGGCAAAAGGGTAATTTTCCTTTTCAGTTTCAATAGGCTAAATGGAAATGGTGCTTTGTCTTGTATGTACTTTGCATATATTGTGCACTAATTCATAGTCACCTGAAAATATCATTTTTGTCACTAAGCAAGTTGTGTTCTGTTGTTGGTTTACCATTCAATATCAAATGTAATGCTGTCAGATTGGGGTTTGTATGTGATAGTTCCTTTGAGTCTCTAGGAATTTTATTATTATTATTATTTATTAATGATTATTATAATTATTATGATTATTAATATTATTATTTATTATTTCTATTATTATTATTGTTATTAATATTATTATTATTGTTATTATTATTATTATTATTATTATTATTATTATTATTATTATTATTATTGTTATTATTATTATTATTATTGTTATTGCTATTGTTATTGTTGTTATTAATATAAATATTATTATTATTATTTTATTATTTTTATTTTTTATTATTATTATTTTTTTTACATCATCATTAAATCTTGTCTAGGATGCCTGCCTTTGCTACAGAATTTGGATAAGTTTCACTTTAGTAATTTTTAGTAATTTGTCCATGATACTTCAAATCCTGACTAAAGATATTGGTCCAGTTTAGAAAATAGAATATCAGAATTATCAAGAAGTCATAATTATTATTATTATTTTATTTTTTTGAAAATGTATTTTGCCTAAAGCTCCATAAGTGAAAAAATAAAGAATTGGTCCTTGAGGCATCAGCCATTTTATAGATCTGTAAAAGGAAATCCAATACAGCCTAAAATGCCTGATTCCTGATGGCTCTGTCTGATTTTCATCATTATTGGCTCTAGGGCGCTCTTATTTTAAAATGTCATTGTAAAAGCCTTCAGTCTCCTTAACCTGTTGATGTTGGGAGTGATTTTATAGACCCAGTGATCACCGTGGTTTTGTTTTATTGTATTTGGTACATGTAGATGGCTCCACAAGCTCCTTTTTAAGTTTTTTAACTGGGGGGGAGGAAGGATATTTTTTTAGGATTTTATTTTTTTGGTGTGTGTTCTAATAACAATAATGGGGTTCAGATAATAATGATCATAATGATAATGGCTTTAGTAATGATTGTACTAATAATAAGGGTATTGAAAATTATCATAGTGATGATGATCATGATAATAATGATTATAATTATAATGTTAATTATTATTTTTATTATAATATTGATAATGCTATGATAATGATGATAATAATTATATTAATATTGATATTAATTTGGTAGTTGTATATCAATATTGATGGTGATGATGATAACAAAGATAATGAACTTGATAATAGTAGTAGTACCAATAGTGATGATGATTAGAAGAAGAACAACAAAAACAATAACAGTTAAAGATAATGACAATGTTAGTAATAATGATGATGATAATGGTGATAATAAAAGTAATGGTATTTGTGACTGCAATTTAAACATTCTAACTCCATTGTATTCAGTGGTGTAAATGTAGACTTGGGAAGAAGAAATACAGTTACTGAAATGAAGTCAAATATTACTATCAATTAGCTGTGTGATTTTGCCCTTGGAGTGGGTGGGGCGCCTCCAGATTGAATGCTCTGGCAAGGCTTGTAGAACCATTTATGTTAAAGAAAAGATAAAAGAAAAGAAAAACACAGTGTATGTATGCATGTAGTTCCAGTGATGGGGAGCTCAGAATGATATTGAGTGTGCCTCTAGGTTTTAGAAACATGATTTAAGGATAATGCATTGCAAGCCATTGTCCATTTTTATTTATTTTTTTTCTGTGCTTTCTATTGCATTAAAATCATTTTTCCTTTTAGAGGCCTAATTGTATGTTTGCTTGTAGGTCAGTACGCATCTGGCAACGACGGGACTCTGGCCAGTATTGGCCAAGTGTTTGCCACTTTTTGCCTTCGATTCCCAGTTGTTTCCACTACACGCCTGATAACAGACGCATGTTCATTGGTCTCGACAATGGTACAGTTACGGTAAGTGCTAGGCATGTTTATTTATTTCTGTCATGGCTTAATAATGTTTTTTCTTGTATAGTGAGTAGAGAAGGTTGTAGGAGCAAGGAGGAAAATGGTAGATACTGTGATGTGCTTAATTTACTTGAGTTTTCAGCAAGATTATGAAAGTAAGTAGGAAGAGTGTCCTCATCCTAATTACTAATACACCATTATTTGAGTTTAAGACATTGAAGTTTGAAATATAGTATTAAGAGATAGAACTTTAAGACTATGATTTAGAAATTATGTTTAACCCATTTGGCCTGGATGGCAAGAATACGTGCCATGCCCACACGAATATTAGTTTATTGCTTTTCTTAGTCACCAAGCAGCCAATTATTAAATATTGATCCTACCTATCTCACCTGATTACCCTTTTCCTTGATTTTTAGAAGTTTATTTTTTATTATCTTATTATCTTTGTTGTTATTTGTATTATAATAGCATTATAATAATTCAAAGGGTCTACTAATTGATGCCTTGGTGGCTGAGCACAAGTGCAACCATCTGTATGCAACAAAATTCACAAAAAAAATACAGTGGATAGTACAGAAACCTATGGTGAATGGGCTGATATATATTTTTAATGATAAGTTTTGAGTATGGTAATAGTTTGAAGTCAGGAAGAAGCTTTTGATTATATTACAGTGACTAGTAAAGATATTTCTATAATTTATGCAGAAAATCCAGTGTTTAGATACAAAGTACTTCAAATATATATTAGGAGAGTTGCCACTGATATATAATGATTTTAGTATGAGCTGTACAGTAATAGGTTTTTAACAGTTATTAACAAATTTTCTGTAATTTTTGTGAATTTTGTTGAACACAGATGGCCCTAAAAGTGTTCACCCAACAAGATGGCCCTATGTTGACCTCACCTTACTTCCCCACTCCCTGAATTTTCAGGATTTTTGTTTCTTAATACTAATGATATTGATACTGATTTTATTGTTGTGACACTTTGGTCATTACTGAAGATAAAAGATAATCTTTCCAACAGATGTTAAGGGAAAATTAAACAGGTGAGATGGGATTAAAAATTGGGTCCTTAGTGACTAAGCACCTGTGTCACTATCTGGGTGTAAATAATAAGTATTTAACCATATATAGATGGCTAGCGAAAAATTGCTCTCCAGCAATGTGTAGAACTGTGCTGCTCGCTCTGGTGGTTTACAAAAAATCGCAACTTCCATTTGTATTTTTAAGAAACATGAAGGGTATTCTGTTATATGCAGTATATACTCCATTTTAGGAGCGTTTTTACCATCTCATTGTGCGAAATCAGTAGTGTCATCAGGAGAGATAGCAATAGTTTTTTTGTTTTTTTTTTCAACATAAAAAATATATATATATTTACCTGTGATACTTTGAACAAGGAGCAGCACAGAGGGACACACCACAGGTCCTTCACATGACTCAAGCCACCTTCCTTTGGCTGTTCCTCCAGTAGAATGCACATCGCCCCCAAAGCCGGGGCGATGCATCTACTAGGCTTCTCCTGAAATTCCTATGGAGGAATATGCCAGAAGGATTCAGGGCATCCGCCATGGTGCAGCATCCCCTCTACCAACACCCTCCTGAAGTCTGCCTATGTGATCATATTGCCAGTGGACAAGCAGTGCATTGATGATTTTCATATCCAGCAGATAGAAGATCATCTGGATATGACTGCACCAGCTGATCCGAGCTGTCAACACCCTTCCATAATGTTTTTGTCGGAAACAATGACTTTGGGCCTTGACTTTAATACCCCTTTGGCAGTTGGGTGGCAAGGTGATAACCTTGCTGGTGTTGGCCTTGGATTCTTAACCCAATGATGCCGGGTGTACAAAACAAAAAAAAAAAACTCTACGCTCTAGCAAACAAAGGTGGCACACCGACTTTGAGCGCGTAAGTAGGGGACATCAGCCTGAATCACTGGCTCGCCGCGCTTTGGCGCACAGCCGCGGCGTACAGCCGCACGCCAGCTTTCAAGCGGTTTGTTTACACGCCGATCTGCGTCACCCGGCACCAAGGGGTTAATCACCCACTGAAGCCAGAGTGTTCCGGTTGGTGTACTCTAGAAATTGATGTGTCCCTGGCTTGTCTTCAGGTCTGAGGGCATGCCCTTCCAATAGGTACAGTCAGAACCAATAGTGCTGGTCTTCAGGGCCTACAGTTAATGTAAGAGAGCAAGGGAGGAATATCAGTTGTCTGTTTGCTTGTATCCCTTGTCAAGCAGCTCTGTGTTCTCCATCAGTTTGATGACAGCCTTCATGCTAGTGGGGAACTCCCCATGATCTTGCCCCTTGTAGATCTTGAAGACCACCATATACCCTGCCTCTGGACTGTTGGATGAGCATCACTTATAGACTTTCAGGCCTTCTTTGACTGCGTGCAGGTGTGGTGATACCCCATGAAGGGCCACAAACTCATCCACAGTGATAGTCTTGTTCGGGACAAAGACTGAATGGAGTGAAGTTGAGTTGAGCACCAGTTGTAGCTTCTACAGTCAATTCCCTACATCTTGCTGCTGTCTGTCAGTGAAGGAGAGTGCAGAGGTCAGGGCATCAAACTGATCCCTGGTCATTGTCTTTTGGGAATGTGGTGGAAGACATCAAGTGATCGGTGGACAAGAAGACCCTTAGGCGACACCTTGACTTTAGTTCTAAGAACGGTTCTCTTGAACGGTCGTGCCCACCATCTCTGCAAAGAGGGTGCTCTAGGACATTGTTGGGCCTAACTGTAATTGTAAAAAAATTGTAAAACTTGTGTTCAAAAAAAGGGGACTTAGTAGCTTCATCCAGGCTGGCATGGACACCAGAATTTCTGTTGAAGCAGTGACACCTTGGAATGTTCTCCTTTGCCCAAACAAAGAAAGGAGTCCTGGGGGCATTGTCTCCCCTGTGATGCCTGACATACGTCAGGAGAGGCTTGTTAGAGTCCAGTGACATATCTCCTAAAGGGATGTAATTTGCATCAAAATGCGTGTTGTTTAATATTCATTGGGGTCAGACTTGGATCCTCTCCAATATATAAAATAGTGATACTATGCAGAAACACAAATATATCAAAAGATCTAGTTGTTCTTACAAATCAAAGAATGGTAGAAATCTAACCGAAGAGATCACTTATCCTCAACTGTTTCAAAGGAGGTGTATAGTTGTCATTTGTGTAGTTATCATCGGCATCCTTGTTAGAGGAATGGTGATTCGGACACAAGAGTGGCTCAAGAGTACTCCTCAGGTGAGGAACACCACTGGATGTCAAAAGCCGAGGATCATCTACCTTCACCTCTTCTTTGGCTTGTGAGAGCATACGGTTGAAAGCTGGCCAGATATGCTTGGCAAAATCTGTCTGGCAAATGATTGCTTTGCCTTCTCCTTGATATTTTATACAGTATTCCAGCCAATAAAAGCTATATCTATGTCCAGCAATACCAGGTTAATAAACTAAGATTGCAGTGGACATGGAAGTCATCAAGTCAAGTCATCTGTACACAAGTTGAGAGTAGGACTTGTTCAGTAACTTTCTGCAAAAGAAAGTGATGAATTATTTGATTCATGTCATAGACTGTAAGTCAGCTGATGTGTGTTTTTTATATTATTATTTATTATTTTCATAATAATGTTTGCATTTTAAATAGATGCAATGATATACATGTTTTTCAACCCATCCCACTCCCATCTCTCCAGGAATTCGAGGTGGCCTCAGACTACAACAGCATCAGACACAAGCGTGACTACCTAAGCCACCAAAACCGAGTGACAGGTGTCATCTTCTGCCCCTCTGCGGAATGGGTACTCTCAGTCGCCCGGGACAAGTTCTTTGTTTATCACTGCACAGAGAGTGGGCGACGACTAGGAGGGCATCAGTCCTCAGGCTGGTGCACAGCCCTGCAGTATGACTACAAGAGTAAACACGTGTTTGTGGGTGATTACAGTGGACAGATTACAATGCTCAAGTTGGAGGAGAGTGGGCCACAAGTTATTACTGTACTTAAGGTAATATATTTCTGTTCATATTTTATCATCTTCATTGTCATTGGGATTATGATTATGATTATAAGAATAACAAGAATTATGACTATACGACTATGACTATTGTCATCTATTATTAACCCAGTGTCACTGAGAAAATGAAATGTCACTGTAGTTTTACTTTGTGATATGTTCCTACACATAGATGACTCCACAAGTGCTTAGCCATCAAGTAATCAATTAGAAGAGCTTGTGACTTCATCAGATTTCAGTTTTCCTCAATTTTTTTTGGGAAAACATTTTTTACTAGTTCTATCTATATTGATGAAGTTGTTATTACTATTAAAGTCCTTATAATTATTGTACTGTTTTTAAAATTACTAATAGCAATATAAGATCAAAGAGAATATTTCTGAAAATCAAGGAAAAGGGTAAAGAAGGGAGAAAGTTAGTACTAGTTACTGACCTCTTGGCGACTAAGCACTTGTGAAACACATCTATGTGTAAAGACTAAAATCACAGTAGATGTGGCATATATGTACATGGCATGGGTTAGTCAACATCATTATGAGTCTTATATGTCTGCTTCCATGGGCTGAATCATTAAAAAATATTATTTGTTTTTTCCAATAGGGTCATAATGGCTCCATTAGATCACTAGCCTGGGATGTAGACAGACAGCTCCTATTCTCAGGTTCCTATGATCAGTCAGTCATTGTGTGGGACATTGGAGGAGGGAAAGGAACGGCCTTCGAGCTGCAAGGACATACGTAAGACTGGTGGTTCCTCTGAGTAAAGTTCTCAGTCAGTGAATGTGATTTTGAAAGGGGTATTACAGACTGGTGGAGATATTCTAAAAGAGAAAAGTAGGGAGTGTGAATGAAAGATTTAAAGGTTTGCTGATGTATCTGTGCTACAACTTTTTTGTGGTTTGGTCTTTCTTTTTCACTGTGTGTGTCTCTTTCTCTCTCTTAGGAGGAATTATATAGATAATGTGTTCTTTGTATTTTTTCTCTTTCTCTATGTGTAATATTTTAAAGATAAGGCTGAAGTGTTCACTTGCTTTAGAGTTGAAGGTAGTTGGTGGAAAAGACAACTATAGAAACTGCTAAACACTGATAGTTCCTGATATGTTTTTAGGTCATGCAATAGTTGTTCACGGGCCTCAGACTACAACAGCATCAGACACAAGCGTGACTACCTAAGCCACCAAAACCGAGTGACAGGTGTCATCTTCTGCCCCTCTGCGGAATGGGTACTCTCAGTCGCCCGGGACAAGTTCTTTGTTTATCACTGCACAGAGAGTGGGCGACGACTAGGAGGGCATCAGTCCTCAGGCTGGTGCACAGCCCTGCAGTATGACTACAAGAGTAAACACGTGTTTGTGGGTGATTACAGTGGACAGATTACAATGCTCAAGTTGGAGGAGAGTGGGCCACAAGTTATTACTGTACTTAAGGTAATATATTTCTGTTCATATTTTATCATCTTCATTGTCATTGGGATTATGATTATGATTATAAGAATAACAAGAATTATGACTATACGACTATGACTATTGTCATCTATTATTAACCCAGTGTCACTGAGAAAATGAAATGTCACTGTAGTTTTACTTTGTGATATGTTCCTACACATAGATGACTCCACAAGTGCTTAGCCATCAAGTAATCAATTAGAAGAGCTTGTGACTTCATCAGATTTCAGTTTTCCTCAATTTTTTTTGGAAAACATTTTTTACTAGTTCTATCTATATTGATGAAGTTGTTATTACTATAAAAGTCCTTATAATTATTGTACTGTTTTTAAAATTACTAATAGCAATATAAGATCAAAGAGAATATTTCTGAAAATCAAGGAAAAGGGTAAAGAAGGGAGAAAGTTAGTACTAGTTACTGACCTCTTGGCGACTAAGCACTTGTGAAGCACATCTATGTGTAAAGACAATTAATAAACTAAAATCACAGTAGACGTGGCATATATGTACATGGCATGGGTTAGTCAACATCATTATGAGTCTTATATGTCTGCTTCCATGGGCTGAATCATTAAAAAATATTATTTGTTTTTTCCAATAGGGTCATAATGGCTCCATTAGATCACTAGCCTGGGATGTAGACAGACAGCTCCTATTCTCAGGTTCCTATGATCAGTCAGTCATTGTGTGGGACATTGGAGGAGGGAAAGGAACGGCCTTCGAGCTGCAAGGACATACGTAAGACTGGTGGTTCCTCTGAGTAAAGTTCTCAGTCAGTGAATGTGATTTTGAAAGGGGTATTACAGACTGGTGGAGATATTCTAAAAGAGAAAAGTAGGGAGTGTGAATGAAAGATTTAAAGGTTTGCTGATGTATCTGTGCTACAACTTTTTTGTGGTTTGGTCTTTCTTTTTCACTGTGTGTGTCTCTTTCTCTCTTCTTAGGAGGAATTATATAATAATGTGTTCTTTGTATTTTTTCTCTTTCTCTATGTGTAATATTTTAAAGATAAGGCTGAAGTGTTCACTTGCTTTAGAGTTGAAGGTAGTTGGTGGAAAAGACAACTATAGAAACTGCTAAACACTGATAGTTCCTGATATGTTTTTAGGTCATGCAATAGTTGTTCAATTGATATTAATTAGTTAGTTTTCATTCAGTTTGTTTTTATATGGAAATAAAATTTCTCTTTCTTTTTTTTTTTATAGGAGTAAGGTATCATCACTTGTCTATGGCTCTGTAAGTCACCAGCTGATCTCAGGTGGAGAAGATGCTACTGTCGTATTCTGGGATATGAAGGCAAACAGACAAGAGGTGAGGCTGTGTTAAATGTTAGCGAAATGGAAATGAAATCTTCACTTTTTTATTTTTTATTTTTTTTTTATCTCAAACTAAGATCCAGTCCTAAAAAAAATGCTTTATTGTTTTTTCAGACTCCAGAGTGGATAGAAGCTGATTCTTGCCAGTACTGTGACCGTCCCTTCTTCTGGAATATCCGTGCTATGATGGACCAGAAACAAATTGGACTGCGGCAACACCACTGCAGGTCTGTTGTCGTTTTCTTCATTAACCAGTGGGATCATAACTTGCACTACCATATAACTTGATGAAATGGCTAATGAATCATAAGAGGAAATTGAGTTTTCTGGTTCACTTTTTTTTTTCTTTTTTTTTATGTAGAAGGATTTTATAGGCTTGGTAGAACTATTAATGCTTTACATATTAATATTTTTACTCTGATTAAAGTTTAATCTTCCTGTAAAACAACCAGAAGACAATTTGTGGGCTCAGGGTAGTAAGTAAGAGCAAGTGTATTTCTCTGAAGTTGTCAATGGTTACTGATTACTTACAGAAAATGTGGGAAGGCTGTGTGTGACAGTTGCAGCAGTAAGCGCTCCACTATCCCAGTCATGGGTTTTGAGTTTGATGTCCGAGTTTGTGATAATTGCCACTCCACCATTTCTGATCAGGAGTAAGTAGTTCCTAATGATTATTGGTTCTAGATGTAGAATAGTGGAGATTTTCTTATGTTTATTTGTGTGTATTCATTTATTTGTTTAAATAAAGAGATTTTGTAAGATCTTGAATGATGAGGTAAATAGGGTAAGGTAACCAGTAGGTACACACCCAATCCAATAGATATGCAGTTGGCATTTAAAATGAAATTCTCACAATGTAACAATATTTTGAGTATCAAATATAGTCCCTAATTGATCCTTGCCCCATACTCAGTAAATTAACTCAAACTG